TTCTGTTGCCAGGCTGGAGTGCGGTGGCATGATCTCGGCTCGCTGCAACCTTGCTGCCTCCCGGGTTTGAACAATTCTCTCCCTCAGCCTCAGCCTCCCAAACAGCTGGGACTACAGGCGCACGCCACCATGCATAGCTAATCTTTGTATTTTTAGTAGAGACGGGGTTTCACCGTGTTGGCCAGGATGGTCTTGATCGATCTCTTGACCTCATGATCCACCTGCTTCGGCATCCCAAAGTGCTGGGATTACAGGTGTGAGCCACTGCACCTGGCCTAAATTAACAAATTTATTTGTTCACTGGAACATTCACTTAATATTACCAACCATTACCTATCCTGATTCTACCATGCATCAGGCACTGTACCAGGTAGGGTAGAAACTATAGATTTAATTGGCTTTGGACAAGTTAAAATCTCTACATCTTACAAGTATGTCCCTGGGTATTAGGATAAGATCACAGATGTGATTACCAGAGGACTAACGTACCATCCATGTAATTCCCGACCTAGAGTCATCATCCCTGTCATAGGTAACCGGGCTTCCTTTGGTCTTCTGTGCCAATGAATTCTACTTTTATTAGTGGCATTCTGGCTACTTATGAATCTTTCTTATTTCATGAGCCATCTCCACTCTTAGACTCAATCAGCCAGCTTCCTTGTGTGTCTATTTTTGTGTTATTTTTATCTTACAGCCGTCAGCGTCTGGGCGGCACTGCTGAACATTTCTTTGAAGCATTGCTTCCAGCGGCTTTTCAGTGGTTACCCTAATTTATCTTTCCATTCAGAAAATTAGTTCAATTTTCTGCTGTCATTTGTTCTCTAAATAAAATGTAGCACAGGAGACCTATTTTTATGCCAGGTAGTTTCAGTAGGTTTGACACGTTTGACCTAATCACATTTTGAATTATACTTCATTTCCAGTAAAATAACACTTATTGAGTTATATGGGTTGAACAAACTGCTTGTTGCTGGGGTATAAAGATGAGGCACTTACCATCTTTTCGGGGGCTGGGGGAAGGAATATACCTTTAAGGTCCTTTCATTGATGATAGCCTGTCAGTTTTCACTGAGGCTGGTATGGTTAGTGGTGCTAAGAAAACTGCTCAGAATTCACAACTAAATTCTAAGTGCTGTTTGAAATTTTATTATGTATATACTGAATAGCACTGTCCTGTTTTTTTCTAAGCTGAGTTGTTACCTGATAGTATTCTTTTCCCTCTCCTAAATGAAACAATGGGATTTTCAAAGCTAAATTTTCATGTGGAACAAAAAGTATTAACTCACCAAGTCCCATCAATTCAGTCTCTTACATATTTCTCCATCTTCACAGCCATAACTCTTGCCCTTTTCCCCTGGGCTTTTGCCTCTGGCCCTGTGTCCCTCCAATCCACTTGCTACACAACAACCAGAGTGAATGTTCTTAGATGGAAGTCTGATTATACCACTTGCCTGCTTACATCAGTTCAATATCCCATTGTCCTTTGGATTAACTTCATAGTTTAAGGCCGGGAGAGGTGGCTTGTGCCTGTAATCCCAGCACTTTGGGAGGCTGAGGTGGGAGGATCACTTGAGGTTAGAAGTTTGAGATCAGATCTGGGCAACATAGCGAGACCCCATCTCTATAAAAATAACCAGGCATACTGGCTCGTGTTTGTAGTCTCAGCTACTTGGGAGGCTGAGGTGGATGGATTGCTTAAGCCCAGGAGATTGAGGCTGCAGTGAGCCACTACAATCCAGCCTTGGCCACAGAGCAATACTCTGTCTCAACACACACATACACACACACGCCCCTTTAGAATCTGGCTCATTGTATGTTGGGAAATCTTCAACATAGTTATTAGATTTGATACTATCCCCAAAGTTCTCTAAGAATTGGTTCAAAAAAAAAAAAAAAAAAGAATTGGTTCATGTAATCCTTGATATTGATAAAGTTTCCTTGAAACACACCGTGGTGATAACAAAGTGTTATGCACAAAATCATGATTGCTTAGTTTTCTTTTATGATCAGTTTCTCATGAAAATAAATAAATAAATAAAACTAGCATATGTGAACCTTCAAGGCTTGATTATAAAGTTCTCTGGTCTTACATAGATTTTAGTAACACTGTTTAGCTAAGAAAAGAAAACAGCCTTAATTTAAGGACCACAGTGCTCACAGAGAATGAGACAGATAATCTCTTTTACTGTTATACATAGTTCTTGTACCCAAAGCTCCCAAAAAGGTTTCCCTGAAGCAAAAGTTTATGCATATAAATAATGGATATTTCACTCAGTTTTCTTGCTGTCAAGGAAACCGTCAGTGGATGTGCATACATGTTTGTGTCTGGTACTGTGGTGTTATTAGCTGTTGCCTGGACTCTCACCTGTGTGATGATCTGTCTAACAGCAAACTGGTAATTGCTGTGTTTGCTTCACAAGACAGCTCTGCATTTGTTATTAACAAAGCATTGGTCTTTATGTGACTATGTGTAGTGAACAGCCCAGACATGATTTCTGCCTGCATAAAACATGCATGTCTCACTGCTCACTCCATCTCCGTGCTCGTGGTGTGAACTTCATGGAGAGGAAGGGAGGAGTTTATTCTTCGCGTTTCTGGTCAATTAAAAAAAGTGGGAAC